GTGGTGGGTTAAGGGTGGTGGGTTGGGGCGGGTTGGAGGTTGGGTTGGGGGGTTGGGGGCGGGGTGGGGTTGGTGGAGGGGGTGGTGGTGTGGCTGGGTTGGGGGGTTGGGTTGGTTGAGGTCGGTTGAGGTGGTGGGTTGGGGGGGTTGGGGTGGTGGGTGGGGGGGTTGGGTTGGGGTTGGGTTGGAGGGGTTGGGTTGGGGGTGTTGAGGGGGTGGTGGGTTGGGGGGGTTTGGGTTGGGGTTGGGTTGGGTTGGGGGTGTTGAGGGGGTGGTGGGTTGGGGGGGTTGGGTTGGGGCGGGTTGGAGGGGTTGGGTTGGGTGGTTGAGGGGGTGGTGGGTTGGGGGGAGGGGACTGATGGGCTGTTGGGCTGCGGGGCTGTTGATGCGCTGTTGGGCTGCGCTCTGTTAATTTGGGCTTGGCTTTCTGCTTTCTGTTGGCTTGTTGGGGTGTTGGCTCTGGGCTGCGTTGGGCTGTTGGGTTGGCTGTTGGGCTGGTTGGGCTTGGCCCCCCCAACCCACCCCCAACCCTCAACCCACCCCCAACCCACCCCCCCAACCCAACCCACCACCTCGCCCAACCCAACCCAACCCCCCCCCTCAACCAACCCAACGCCCCCCCCAACCCCTCCAACCACCCCCCCCAACCCACCAGGGCAACATGAGAGGTGCCTGTTCTGTTCGTGTGTGTCCTTGAAACTGACACAGGAAACGGCGGTGAAGTTTGAGAACCTGCTAAAAGCGAGAGGTAACTTTTGGAGGTTGATTGTAAAATGACCCGCGGCCTTCCGTTGAGGGCATCCTTTAAACCCGCCCACCCCCTCAACCAACCCAACCCCCCAACCCAACCCCTGCAACCCACCACCCCCTCAACCAACGCAACCCCCCCAACCCCAACCCAACCAACCCACCCCCCCCCCCCCCAACCCACACACCCAACCCAACCCCCCCAACCCACCACCCCCTCAACCAACCCAACCCCCAACCCAACCCCTCCAAGCCCCCCAGCCCACCGTGGGTTGGGGGTGGTGGGTTGGGTGGGTTGGTTGACTTCAAGTGCACCTCGTCCAAGACCTTCTTACAAAAAGGGCACTTCTCCAGGGTGGCTGCTGGACCTGCTCCTCGGTGATCTCCGGCACCTTCATCTCGGGTGTCTCCATGTGCTCAGTGAAGAGCTTGGCCAAGAGATCTTCCTTCTGGTTCTCCTCAAGCTGCTGGAGCAGGACCTCCGAGTTCCCCTTCCGGTACTTCTTCACCATGTCCATGACCTCGACCGAAAGGCTGTCTGCTTCCTTTGTCATGATCCCTTTGTGCACCAGGGATTTCCTGGCCTGTTTGGCCTGGCGCCCAGGGCCTCTTGCATGTTCCGGTTTGCTCTGGGACCTCTTGGTGGTGGATGTCTCCATATCGGAACCCGGGTCTTCCACAGGGCCGAAGCATTCGCAGGCCGAATCCTTCGCATGGGTGACCCCAAGACTAAGACCTCACAAAATCCGCCGATTTCGTTAAATCTGCAAAATCGGCAAAACCAGCTCTCAGCTCGCAGGGCTCTCGTCCTTCACGTAAAACCTCGGCGCGGGCAAGGCGCTTCCATCAGCTGGGCTATGGGGGCTATCGGATAAGCCAAGTCATCTGCTCCGGAAAAAGGAGATTCGCGCCTTAGGGATTGCTCCTTAACACGATGCTCCGTCTGCTGAGTGACAGGAACAACAGGCATTGCTTGAACCGGAGTCCTACACACTTTGGGATACAACGCTTTGGCGATCAAACCACACATTTGCTCAGAGTAGAAAGCAGTGCGGGATGTTCGGCTCCCTGGAGTATGTGTTTCGGACTTTGAGTGCGGACACTGGCGATCAGCGAATGCTTCGGCAAGGGCCTTTGATGTAGTTTTGATGTGCCAAGGCTTCTTGATGGGTGAACCATTTTCATCCGTCAAACCAACAGCACAGCCATGAAACGAAATACCATGGAACACATCCTTGTGGCGCTCGAAAAACTCGGCAACATCTGGCCTCTGCCAACCTTCGCAGTCATGCGGCCACTCGAAAGTGACTGATCCACCAGCCGTTAAAACATGCTCGGCGTGCAATGCAAACTTTGAAAACATCACTTTGGATTGCTTGACTTTTTCCCCTAACTTTCTCTTGAACGGCTTACCTAGCCTGTGGAAGTTCAGCCTCTGCCAAGGTGATCCTGAGACGGATGCCCACAAATTAGGTCGGACGCACTGCGAGAGTTGATACGCGAGCTGCTCATCCGCAACGGCTGACTCTAAGTCAATGTACTCTTTTGCTAATCGGCCATGTGGGATGTTGAGATCCTTGAACACATTACCCATTGAGGAATTAGGTGAACAAGCAAATTCAAACATCGGGTTAACAGCATCACGCGATAGGCGCTTGCGAGCACGTTTGTTGCCCACGGTAAACGGAGGGCGTTCATCGCCCCCCTGAAGCTGGCAAGGGTTACCGAAAACGGATGGCTTCTCTTTCGTGGTCTCAGCAAGTGTTGTGCTGGATGCGGTTGACACTGTGACGGCTGCTCCTGAGCTGACTGGGATGTTGCCCTCGTGAGGACTGAGCCCCCCTGCTGCGCTTAAAGCTGGTTGGGTTGGTTGAGGGGGTGGTGGGTTGGGGGGGTGGGTTGGGTTGGGGGGGCGAGTTGGAGGGGTTGGGTTGGGGGGTTGGGTTGGTTGAGGGGGTGGTGGGTTGGGGGGGTTGGGTTAGGGCGGGTTGGAGGGGTTGGGTTGGGGGGTTGGGTTGGTTGAGGGGGTGGTGGGGGGGGCGGGTTGGAGGGGTTGGGTTGGGGGGGTTGGTTGAGGGGGTGGTAGGTTGAGGGGGTTGGGTTGGGGGGGCGGGTTGGAGGGGTTGGAGGGGTTGGGTTGGGGGGTTGGGTTGGTTGAGGGGGTGGTGGGTTGGGGGGGTTGGGTTGGGTGTGTGGGTTGGGGGGGGGTGGGTTGGTTGGGTTGGGGTTGGGGGGGTTGCGTTGGTTGAGGGGGTGGTGGGTTGGGGGGGTTGGGTTGGGGGGGTTGGGTTGGGGGGGCGGGTTGGAGGGGTTGGGTTGGGGGGTTGGGTTGGTTGAGGAGGTGGTGGGTTTGGGGGGTTGGGTTGGTTGAGGGGGTGGTGGGTTGAGGGGGTTGGGTTGGGGGGGTTGGGTTGGGGGGGCGGGTTGGTTGGGGGGGGGGGGGGGGTTGGTTGAGGGGGTGGGTTGAGTGGGTTGGGGGGTGGGTTGGGGGGGTGGGTCGCGGGGGGAAATGGAATCCTCGGCAGGGCTGTGGTTGAAATGGAGTACACGAATCTGTACAACAGAAAGGGCCTAACCCCAAAGCCTAACCCCAAAGACTAACCCCCCCCCCCCCACTTTTCAAGGGGAGATTCCAAAAGGTATCACAGAAGTGGTTGGATAAACCCCGAGTGATCCCACAACCCTGCTCGGCAAAATTTCGGATCCGACGCAAACTCCGAGCCTGTCCGTGCACCCTACCACAAGGGTGGAGGGGGGGGGTCCCCAATTCCATGTATCTAGTACTCCGTATAGATGGAAAGGGGTCACCCCCCCCCCCCTCCCCCTCTCCCAATTCCACATTTGAGGGGGGGCGGGGATCTCTATCGACCTTGGGGCACGCTTCCCTATTGTGGATGGACGAAATCCATTTCGCACCACTTGGAAACCATGGTTGAAACCATTGTCGGTATGGCATTTACAACCATCATTCCGTTGGGTTTCTTAGGTGGTGGGAAATTGATTTCCGAGCCGGGGGGGGGGGCCGAAAATGATGGCTTCCCTTTGGTTTCCCGTTTGGCACCACCCAAAACGTGCCCTCAAAACCAAACAAACCCGTATTCTCCGAACTGATTTCGAACCAGCCGCTTGGGTCGGGAAGGGTTAAGCAGGATGCCTGGGATAATCTGGATCTGGTTAAAGTGAGGCCCAAATAGATCCTGTAACAACCACATGGCCCTCACTCCCCAAAAGTTTGGTCAAGTCGCGCTTCGTCATGATCCAGGTCGCGATGCTCGCAAGATTGAAGGTGATTGCTAAAAGCCGAGTCTGCGGGGACAAACTACGGGACAAGCTGCCAAGAAAAGCAACATGCCCTCGGAGTCTTGGGGGACCTCGGTCTGGGTCCCGCGTGAATTCGTGGAGCAGTTGCCCCAAGCGTTGCGATGATAATGGACGAACATTTTGCACAACCTAATAATCCCTGGAATTGCAATTCCCTGTAAATACCAACCAACAATAAGTTACCATGATTTCCAAGTGGTGCAGGATTTCGTCCATCCACATTTTGTCAAGTGGTCAAGTTGACCGATTGACCTAATCAAAAACTGCAACCCCAAATTATAGGCTTGTGTATGCATTTGACCCCCTATGATTGGTTGTCCGAATGGGGCCCCTTTCAAACCAACGCTCTAAACCGGGCACCCTTAAAACATAGGCCACCCCCCCAAAGAAAGAAACAACACGACGCTAGAATCCGACCTCAGCGCGGAATCTGGATCGAGGCTCGCATGCAAATCCGGGCGCGCAGGTCATCTCTAGACTGAACGCTTGAAACTTCTATTGACCGTTTCTTGTTTTGGTCTTTGTTTAGTCAAGGTTCTGAAAGGTTAACCTTTTCCAGCACCCCCCCCCTCCCACAACTGCTTGTTCCCATGTCAAGGCAACAAAAGCAAGGACGGGCCTTAAAAGGCAGTGGTTGGCAAAATCCTTAAGTGGCCAAAGGATTTGATGAAGAATCATGCTTGGAACAGACCAGAAGTGAACTTGGGTTGGGATGATTGCCGGCTTTTGTGAGGATACCCATTTGGCTGTGGCTCAAACAAACCGACATCAAAATGGAACCCTGGTAAGTGGAAACATGGACCAAAACCTGCGTAACCCCTGCTTTTTTTTATTTTGAGCCAGACCCATTTCTTTGGAAATGCCAAGGGAAACCGAAGCCAGTCGATCGGTATGCTCAACTCACTCGAGCCACTCACTCAGTCAACGCGCGCCTGCTTTAGCAGTCGCCGAGCTGCCTTGCGCACGCCGTCGGCCTCACGTGCAACAAATTGTATTGCAGTCGGAAAACCGTGCCTCCATTTGCTCAAGTCGCCAGTAGCGATAAATTTCCTTGAACACCAACAGGGGAAACTAAACATATTTCTGAAGCAAATGGAGGCATGGCCGTGAATTTTAGCAGACCACTTGGTGGACGTCAATTCGGCGATTCGGCGATTCATACACATATATGAGGCCATATATATTCATGCATATATATATATATGAGGCCATATATATATATATATACACACCAAGCACTTTTGAGGCGGTTCCCTATTAGACTTCAAATCCGTACTATGTTTGCTCCCCCCCACCCCACCCCAACCCCCTCAAAACAAAGCAAGCAAGCAAACAAGAATACATCATTTCCAGCACCACCTTTTCCCCCTCCCCAACCACTGCTGTGTCCCATGTCAGCAATCCCAACTGCCCAAAAAGTGGTGGTTGGGACCCGGGTGCTGGTTGATCTTTCGTGGACCATGGAACCCGCCACGCTGGACGCCGGGAGTTTCCTGCCTGGAATGGGAAGCCGCCAGCCTGTGCGAGCGGAGGGGGCGGGGTTTGGCCCCCGATTCGATCTTATGTCAGCGTCCCTCCATGTGGTTGAGTCAACCACAGCCAGGTGGTTCCTAGCCCCAGTCTAAGGAAGTTCCCTTCAATTGGCAGTTTGGATTTCTGGTTTGGTGGGGTTCCGCGCTTTTGTCCCATTCTCTACAAAAGCCATGGGTTCAAACCCTCTTCCAAGCACAAAGGGAACATCTGGGTCACCCCCTCCTGCTCCATTTTTTGCCTTGTCCGGGCGATCTGCACACCACTCCCGAAAGCCCGAAAGACCAGCCCTGCATCATCCGAAGCTTCAGGAACAACATAATCTAGGTCCTCCAGTGAAGAGGCTAGAATAAGGGTACCAACTTTTCTCTGTCTATTTTAGTCGGGGAACCCTCCCCCAAAAAAACAAACGGTAAAAGTTGGCACTACTGAAAAACCGAGTGCCCTATGTCCATGCAGTTCTGCAAAGGAAGCTTGTCAACACGTGAAGGGTTGAAAGGGAATACAATCTGCAGATGAAAGGCACCTAGCAACTGCAGGCAGAAGGCGAAGGCTTGCCGTGTTTTTGGTGGACTTTCGGACTTCCGCCTCTGGCTCCGTCTTGACCGTCTCGGTAGGCTCCTCCTAGGCTTCTGCGAGCATGGGAAAGGGCTTGCGCAGACTGGGATTGCCAGGAGGCTGGTATTGTTGGTGCTCTGGCAAAGGGAAACCAAATGCAAAGCACCCGTTTTGGGGCCTGGCATCAAGCCTCCCTATGCAATTGGGAACCCGTGATCCCAGAGTGATCTTCGCCAGAATCCCCCGCCCACCCCGCCGCCCCCCCCCGAAGTTGGGCGTCCCGGAAAATGCCAAGCCCTTAAGGCTGATTGGTAGCTGAACATTTTAGGAGCAAATGAGGGGGAACTTTTGGGAGAGCCAAGCTGAGCCCCTCGATGTGCTCCTTTTCCTCAACTTGGCCCAGGAATACAAGGTTCACATTTTTGGGCTGCCATGACTAGAAAAAACAGCACGTTTAGAGGGGGGGAAATCAAAAGGTCAAAAGGTCGGCTTTGGGCAAGTAAGTTCACGATGTCGACGATTCTCGTCCAGACGTTTTGGCACCTTGACGTCGGGGTAGGGCGTCTCGGGCGTCTGCGGCTGGGGGACTTCCTGAAGCCCAATTTGAACGCATCTCACTTGGCACCCCCCAGCATGGCCTGAAATCATGCTGACCCCCTATCTTGGTTGCTGTTGACCCTCCTGCAAACAGTTGAACTTGTTGGGGCTTTGGTGGAAAACCCCCTGATTGCCTAAAGAGCCAACCCAACAGCAGGCAAGCTATTTATCAACCCCAGTTTATGAATAGGGGGGTGTCCATTTCTGGGTTTTGTGTGTTTGATGGGTGTAGTGTCCCTGGGTGTGGTGGTGTAATGGGTTGATTCATAGGGGGCCACTTCCTCTTGGTTTCCCTTTAAGCCTACCTGAAAAAAGGAAAAACGGAGGAGCGGCCACCAGAATGAGACCCGGCATGGGACCGACTCTCGAAGAGGCTGCCTTGCAAAGGCCACACTCAAAAACCAGGCCCTCCAGTGAGGTTAGAATAAGTTGGTGCCCAATTTTTTTTCTGCAGTGTATTTTAGTAGGGGCGTGCCCTCCCCCAAAAAAGAATCGGTAAAAGGGCAATACTGGGGGACCTAAAAAAAACATGGGTGGCTCCTGCTGCTTTTTGGAGTTGAGGCTTCCCCTGTTTCTGTTGACCCGCTATCAATCAAGCCCAGTTCATGAAATGGGGGGTGTTCATTTCTGGGCTTAGTTGGGAATCATCACTCTTGGAGGGGAACCCCCCCACATGAATAAACTGGGGTTGACTAATAGGGGGTGAACATTACAACCGCTTTTCCCGTCGGTTTCCCTGTAAACCCACCTGACAAGGGTACCCTGAAAAAAACACACGTGCATGGGCGCTAACAATTAAATGGGTTTCTTCAGGAAGCCACGCACAAGATTGTCCTTGTGCAAGCTGGAACCGCATAACCCTTTTAAGCGCCCCATCTTCCTGAAACGTGAGACATGTATTAAATGTGACTTGACGACTTCAGACCCCCTGCAACAAGTTCAAAACTGTTTGCTGGCTGAAAGGTAAACATGATGGAAACCCAAAAAAGGCAAACACTTACAACATGTATTCCTCACTTCCTGAGTGGATTGGTCAAACAAAGTCCAAGCTTCTTGTTTACCACAAAACTGGTCCAGCCCCCGAAAGTGATTAAAGCTCCAGGAACTCAGGAACCTCCATTTGCTTCCGCCCCCTGGAAAAAATGAGAACATATATCCAGTAGTGAAATTGAGTCCCTTTAAAACCGACAGGGGGAAATATGACATACTCATTTCAGCAAATGGAAGCTCTAATTGGTGGTTTGGAGCCCGGTGGAGTGGTGGTCACGGAGGGGTTTCAATTCCAACAGGGGAAAAACAATACTCTTCACCAAATGGAAGGGAAGTGAGACTCTGAGTCTGGCAGGGCCAGGCAAGGCGCGAGCGCGCCTGGGAAGACCAGTTTTCGGGCGTAACCGGGGCTGGGATGTCCTGAGCTGCTTTGGACGCAAACAGGCGGCACTTGGGGGGGGGGGGGGGGGGGGTGGAGGGGTGGAGGGGTGCAGGGGTGGAGGGGTGGAGGGGTGGAGGGGTGGAGGGGTGGAGGGGTGGAGGGGTGGAGGGGTGGAGGGGTGGAGGGGTGGAGGGGTGGAGGGGTGGAGGGGTGGAGGGGTGGAGGGGTGGAGGGGTGGAGGGGTGGAGGGGTGGAGGGGTGGAGGGGTGGAGGGGTGGAGGGGTGGAGGGGTGGAGGGGTGGAGAGTTTCGAGGAGAAGTAGTTGGAATTTCCAACCAAAGAACACACAAAAAGCAACTATGGGCCTTCGGAGCTCGGCTTGCTGCTGGAAATGGCCAGGTGAATTGCCAACAGCCAACGCCAGCGGCAAGCATCTGCAAGCCATGGAAATCAACCCCGTTTGTGTGCAAATTTCAATCGGGGACGCTTTGGATAGACATCATTGCATGGAGGTGGGGGGGGGGTTCATGTCCACCAACCACTTGAGGTAGTTCCCTGTTTTTTTCTGGTTGCCCTGCCTCCAACTCCGTCTTGACCTGCAAAAGTTCCTCGGATCCGAAGTCCTGGCGGCTTCTGTTCGCCAGGAGACGCAGCTTTGACTCTCTCTGTCCCTGTCTCGCTCTTTGAGAGTTGGGGACAAAGGCCAAGGGCCAAGGACTAGTCAAGCCCCCTTGGCCAGCAGAAGCTATGAAGGGGGAAAGCTTCTGCAAATCTTCAATTCCCATACCTCCACAAAGGACCTACACAACAACCCCTGAGCCCACCATACAAAAAACAAGCAAGTGCTCTTCCAGTTGTTCGACGTCAAAATGGCCTCCGGCCAAAGCACAAGCATCCACTAGGAGGGGAGCTACCAAAAGGGTGTTAAAACCGTACCCCAACTGGGCAAACAGGCACGCCATCCCTGCACAACCAACTTCCGATCTCAATTGTACGCAAAAAAACATGGCAAGGGCAGAAGGGGCCCTTGAAGATGTATGGGTGTGGGTCAACATTAAACCACAAGTTGGAACCGCAGGTCTTAGTCCATGTTTCCATTTACCAGGGCAAGCAATTTTACCAGTTTTTGACCCACAGCCATACGTCAAAAGCTGCTTCCAGGGATGGATTGAAAGCTGCCAAGCTCTGGGAGGGACAGCGACAAACCTGGAAGGTGGGAAAGACACCTTGTGATAAATCCATTTGTTTAAGCCCCAAAACACATAGAATGATTTCCAGTAGTGATAGATTCCCTTCAAAACCAACAAGGGAAAAAGCAAATGGAAGGATACGGTGAGTTTCCCATCCCCATGACGCCACGAAGTCAGATTCCGAATTCTTTTCTCACAGAACGTGAGCCCACCACTTTTCCACACTTCATCTCGACACATGGCCGAGTTGCAATACGGAACCAACCCAACAGCGGTTGGACATGATGTAAGGCAGTCTAGCAAATGGTCTCTAAAAGCCATGCTTGTGGACAACCATCCTTTCTGTCATGCCAAGTGGGTCAGCCTTATTCCGTAGTTCGCTTCAGGGATGCCCAAAACAAATGTCAACCAAAAAGCTTACTCCCGCCTGGGCTGTCCTCTCCCCTGCTAAGCTAAGAGTTCAGCTTTTGGGCTTGATGGAACCTACCACTAAAACAACTAAGACCACCCTAAAAAGCTCAGGAAACCCAGCAAAACCCAACTACCAAACCACCTAAAACCCACTAAAACTCGCCTCCCCAAAGTCGCCTCAAGCGAAACTCGCGTCTCGCTGGCCCGCATCTCGCCGTCGGAGACCACGAGTCTCAGGGACCGCTGTGGCCCGCCGGACCTTGGCCGTCACCCCCTGCACCATGGAAGGGTGCCGTCTGTGGGTGAGTGGGCAAAATCCTACACTTTGAGACCATGGGAAGCCATTTGATTGTTTTACAGGGGTCCTTCCAGAGTTTCTTAGGTGGTGCGAAGTGGATTTGGTCCATCCACAGAGCTCACCCTGGTGTTTTTGGGATTGTCCCAAAGTAGGGAAAACCCTCAAAATTGGCAGTCTCCCTTTGACACCGCACAAAAATGAAGGTGCAAACCAACCAACCAAAATGAGTCCAGAAACCATCAGAAACCAATGGACTCTGAGTGGTGGCTTCTGGGGGCTTTTGGCTCAAGTGTGATGTTGATGATAAAGACAAAAGCTCCTCATGTGCTCGGTTGCGGAATCTGCTCCCCTGCTAAAAGTGCCTAACGTTTAGTGGTTTAATACGGAAAACCAATTCGTTAGTTGGCAAAAAGCTAAAGTCCTAACATCCAAGCAAAATGCACCAAAGTGTGGTTGAGCAGTGTTGAACGGCACCGCATTTGCAAAGCCAAGAATGCGCCTCAAAAGGGCCTCCCAGCTGCAAGGCGAAGAAAAACGTCCTCAGGGAAATGTGTTGGTCATGCCCAATACCTGTTTTGAATGTTGCTCGGTTTCCCCTGAGGCTTTTGGTGTTGTTCAGATTTGGCCATTCTCCCAGAATGTAGATCTCTCCCATGCAAAAGCTTTCTTATAGCATCGGATGCTGCTAAGAAACTCCCGCTATGTTTCTTGTATTCGCGCTGTTTCTAGTGCGGTTGCTCCACTTCGTTCAGGGTCCCTTCGCTTGCACCGGCAGGGACGTTCGCTTGTAGGCAACAACCCAGAGAGAACAAACCAAACTGTATGGCAAATGCCAATTGGTTGTTGTGAAGTTTTTGCTTTTTCCCTGACAGGGTGGTATAGGTCATTTCCTAGGGACGGCACAGCCCCGAGCACGTGTCTTTCATGTTTTCAGCAGTCAGTGTTGACCAGATCCTCAACATAGTTGCTAGGATGTTGGATGCTTGCAATTTGATTGACAAGAATAAAATGTTAGGATTTCAAGCCCAAGCTTCAAATACGCTGGTCAGAATTCCACTACGGAAGCCGAACTGGAAATTCAACCAAGCTAAGCTCAAACATGTTTAGAAGGTATTCTAACTGCGCTTGAAAGAGTGATGGGATGGAACTCCTTTCAAACAGACCCAACATCTGCTTGTTTCCCATCGATACCAAGAAAAAAACTAGTTAACTTCCGAACATTCAGGGCATTGGGCCTCTCAAAGGGGCACCCTCAAAAAACACAGAGCTTGCCCAAAGGACCGGGAAAATCCGAGAAACCACATCAGAGAAACCAAAAGGTCCAATTGATGCGCTTGGGTTAGCGGCTAAGGCCCACCTCTGAGGTAGACTGAAAATCATCGTTTCCGAGTCTGTTCCACAGTCAGCCAACCTAAACTTACCCCTTAAAACTCCAAGCCAGCTGGGGAAGTTTTCATCTTTTACAGACATATAGCCCATGTTACCCAAAGAGTTGTGAAAAGTTGTGTTTTTAAGAGGTAAGTAAAATGTGTTCTGTTTCCGACTAGCTCGTCCAGTTTCAAAACACAGCTCCTAATTCCCTCCCACCTTTTTTTCACATGGAACTTGACGTTCACGGGTCCCTTTAAAAGGCAAACGGTCGTCCACCCTCCGAACGTCAGGCTCCATGGAAAATGGGTGGGAGGGCAACGTGTTTGCCCCGGTGACACCTGGGCCGCAAGGCTGATCCAGCTGCTCTTGGGCGTGCAGCACCAACTGGTCGAAGCGTGCGGCGAAGTGTGGGGAGTGGCCCGGGAATTTTTCCGTGGATGGCTGCGAAGTCCGCTTCTCGCACCACCTGAGAAACCATATGATCCCACCTGCAAATACCAACAAACAATGGTGTGCCCTGGTTTTTAAGTAGTGCAGGATTTCGCCCATCCACCGTATGAAAAAAAAATCTGGTGATCGCCTGTCGGGCTGCCACTAAAACGCAGAACCAAACTCAGGGGAAATAACAGGTGATCGCCTTTTGGGTTGCCACTAAAAATTGGAACTGTACGGAACTGAAAGGTCATGTCAGGTCGATTTGATTCCCTCTGAAAGTTTCACTTGTGGGTTAGATGGGAACCACCACTAAACCAAGGAAAACAACAACGACAAATCTAAAGCTCAGTTGCCCAAAGGACCTGCAACTAAAAGGTGATCACCTTTTGGGGCCGTGACTTATAAATATGGGTTCCCAAAACAGAAAAACCAAAAAATCAAAAGGTCGACTCGCTTTGAACAACTGAGAAGGACCTAAGGAGCCGGACGGCTGGGAAGCGCCAAGATTTGAGCAACGTGCAAACAACATGCTACCAGCTGCCCGCCCGTGCAAAAAAAGGCTCCCTTTGCTCGATCCCATCTAATGGCTAAATTTCCTGGTTGATTCTATTCAAACAATAGGGGTTGGTAGGTGGTTTACCGCAAAATCTTCATAGGCTTTCATCCCCTCCACCCATGCCCCTCCCCACCCCTCACCATCTCACCCACCATCACCATCTCACCACCCCACCCTTCCCCTCCTCCACCTTCACCCTCCACCCCTCCCCCACCCTCACCCCACCCTCACCCCACCCTCACCCCACCCCCTCCCCCTCCACCCCACCCTCCACCCCGCCCCACCCACCCATCCCCCACTTCGCTTCGTGTCCCCGCCAGCTCTGGGAAGCTCTCGCGGGTCAGCGGCTTGGAGCCGGTTCGGAACTCCAGCTGCAGCTCCTGCGACTCGAAAAATAGATCGGGTGCTGTGGAACCCCGCTGCAAGGAGTCGCTTATGTGTTTTCTATATATATAGATATATTTATATATATATATATTTATATTTATATATATATATATATATATATATATATTTAGAAGTGTTTTTTTTGCAGTGCTCGTTTTTTTTTTTGTTTTAACTGATTGTGGGTTTAACGCGGGAAACCCTGGAATGCAAGAATGTGTTGTTGGTGTTGTGTTTTTTCTTTTTCGGTGCTTGTGTTAGCTTTCATGTTCGCGTTCTTTATTATTTTGTGGGCGTGATGCGGAACACCACTGAATTTCAACATAAAATGGTTAAAGTCCCAATAGACCCCTCTGCAAAGAATAGTTCAATCGCTGTGGGGTTTAATAGAACTTTTGTGCGGGGTTAATCTTTTTGTGGGTTTGATGGAACATGTGTTTGTGGGTTTTAATTTGGAAAACCCTCGATTTCAACCAAAAAGTCAAAAAGTCGAAAGATCCAACCCAATAGCAATCAAAAAAAAAAAAAGGAATCAGACCTCCCAAACATGGCGGTTTCAACGGTTTCCCTTTGGTCTCCTGGCAACACCATCCAACAAAAAAAGTGCCCGCGAAGAAAAAACAACCACAACAACCCCCCCCCCAAAAAAAAAAAAAAAAAAGACAGAGCAAACGGGCTGAAAACCAAGCAGCTTGCGGTGTTTGAGGCCTCGGGTGCTTTCTTTTTCGAGGGATGGATTGCCAAAAGGTAAGCCTTTTGGATTGGCAAACTAAAATCTCGATCCACGCCGATTCGGGCGCCAGGCGCGAGGGTGATTTCTCCCGTTCACTGGAGTCATCCAGCCCAGGAATCCCCAAGCTCTTTATGTCTTGTTCATCCACATGCGGGCAGGAACATGGCCAGACCTGATAGGTCTGTTCTGCCATACGCAAAATGACCAAAGCATAGGTTGAGTTGTGTTTGTTGAGTGGGTGAAGCCTGAACCTTGCTTAAACAGCTCCAACTGATTCGAAATGGGCCTGAAACGGAGGCTCGTGCCCTTTGATGAGTTGAATTGCAACCCTCGCCCCTTTCGAAAGCAACGCACAAGCCCATGAAGCTACACTACCGGACTGCTCAACATGAAGGATTTGTCCAACCTAGCCAATAATCCTGGAAAGGAAGCTATATACTACCAAGGATCCCCCCCTTTGCAACCCAGGGAAGAATTGCTTTGAGGGTACCCTTGGGGGTAGCAATCATTGGGAAATAAACTCAAATGGGCATGTGATAAGATAGAGGGACCCCCAAATGGTGCTGTTCCTTCGATTTTTCTTGAAACCAACCGTCAAAAGGGTGCCTTGCAAAAATGCACGCGCCCATTCAGAGACAACCCCCTCCTTGTCCGGCGACAGCCGCTCAGCGAAGATGTGCCTCTGCACCCAGTGGTGGAAAAGGGTCCGTTCAGCAGAAGGATTTCCGAGAGACTAGCACACCTTCTTGTTGGTAACGTCAAAAGCCTCCCCCCCCTTTAAAAAAAAAGGAACAATTCTCTACGGCTTGCCGCATGCCAAACCAACAATTCCATGAGATGTTGGATTCTAGTCCATATTTTGCGAACCTAGACACCAAGTTCCAAAATAGATTCCAGTAGGTTGTGCAGACCCCAACACAAACTCAGTTGCCCAAAGGACCCAGAAATAGAATTCACCTTTTGGGGCTATGACTAAAAATGGCCCAAAGGGAGAAAACCAAAAGGTCAAAAGGTGGATTCGCTTTGGGCAAGTGAGACAAGGCAAAACTATCGACTCGCAATGGTACAGGGTATTTGTCAAAAGGTGGACCCCCCCGCTTCCCAAACCAACCAAGCAGTGGTTCCCCTGTGGATTCCCTTTCAACCCGCTTCAAAAAAGGGTGAGGTCACTAAAATGCCAAAAGCGGAATTAAGAAATGGATCCCCAACTAGACGGCCTTTGTCGTGGCTGTGTGTTACACCCTCGAATCGGTGGAACCGCTCGCGTCGCACAATCGGCAGCGCCAGGCTTTGGCCATCCGAGCGCCCGGCAGACAGGCGGCCTGCACCTGAATGATGGGGGGCAAAGAGTCATGCGGTGGGCCCGAAGAAAACCGATGTGTCGTGGCTTGCCGCGTTTTTCGAGACCGCCAAACGCCTATATATATATATATATATATGAGAAAGAACAAATAAACGGCAAAAGCTCCACAAAGAAGTCTCCCAAAGCCCAGCCTCTAAAATTCTAAAAGAAGCGGGCATCGTTCACCTTCCACTGTTTGGTTGACCATGTTTGTTTTCCAGAACCAGGCCAACGCTGAAGCTGCGCAAAGCACTCTTCGCAGGCCGGGTCCCATGCCAACGAGGATGGACCATGTCCAAATGAACATGTGCCTAGCCTGTAACCAAACATATTATAGAACAAACGCACACACACTCAAAGACATGCAGAGATGTACCCTCCCCAAAAAAGCCAGAAAGAGCAGGGATCCTTTGTTGAAAACGAATTGGACAGGGATCCTTACATTATGCACCGGAACATTGCCTTGTACATGGTGGTGTCCCCTTTATTTTGGTGTTGAAAAGCAACATGTTTCAAATGGTTGCAAACGGCAAAATGGAGATTTTTTAAGGAGCCCTGCTAAGGAAACCCTCAAAATTGGCAGTTTCCCTTTGACAACAACCCTTTTTTGAATGGAAAAAGCAACATGTTTCAAATGGTTGCAAACGGCAAAATGGAGATCTTTTAAGGAGCCCTGTTGGATGAAAAGGGTTGGGTGGTTGCGGGTGGTTGCACTCGCCGTGTTCACCAGCAGCTCAGCTCGTCGCCTGGTCGTAGCTCAGCTCTTGAACCCGTACCCGTCGCACCTGAGCCACCGCTCATAAAAGTTAGTAATGTTGACCTCGGATATATCTTTATTCTTGGTATGGGCTTGCAAAAAACTGACTGTTTTTTTGCAGACCCCCAGTAAAAATGAACAGAACCAAAACAACTAAAAAAAAAAAGCCAAGAACAGCGAAGTCGGACTAATAAACCCCTGTTTATTGACTCGGTTGCTTTCTGCTCCCCTGCCAAGTGACTAACTTTAGTGGTTTAATGGAAAAGCCATTGGTTGGCAAAAAGCTAAAGTCCTAACATCCAAGCAACATGCACCAAAGTTGAAATATGGGGGTGTCCCTTTTAGGGGGGATTTTGTCACTCTTGCATTTTGGCACACCCCCATGTCAAGAAACAGGGGTTTATGAAAATCGGGGTCAACCTTACGGGCCATGCAAACTGGACATGGTTGGTCTTTTGTCGTCTCTTCCCTGTGGTCCTGTAGTCCAGTTGGCTGTCCAACTTGAGGCTTCGCTTCAAGAGACCTCGTCAATGGAAAATGAGGATCCCTCCTTTTCAGGACTCGACGTCGAACTCTTTTGGGGTAGCCCACTCGGCGTCACTTGGCCATTACCAGTGAACATCCGATTCAATCCCCACAAAAGTAGGGTTGTAAATGGGCGGTGAATTCACCTACCTGCCAAAATGGGATCCCAAAACGGTTTTGACAACCACAGCCACCCAACTACCTTAACTTGTTTAAGCGTTAGCCTACCTCGCGGGATTCGGCTGCCGGTTGCCCTAGGTGCTGAGGTAATGGGCGACACGCTCCAACCTGTAATTAATCCTGGGAAGCCCCGTTAACATGGCTTAAAGCGGTGGTATCAGGAAAAAAGGATGCCTCAGACAAGCGAGGGGGAACATATAAGAGGTCCGGGAACAAAGGAAAGTGACGCCTCGTTTGGTGTCCTAGGTTGCAAGCTAAGAAGAGGCAGCCCGATGCAACCCGACAACCCCTGCCCCTGGCTTCGCAGGAGAAAATCAAGCGCGAGGCCCCGGGCATCCTCGCCCCAGTGGAATTTCAGCAGCGCCATGCCTATGTCAGAAGCCCCATGGCATCAGCTGGTCTGGGAAACCCAACATGCAAGTTGTGATCACATTTTGGGGTTGCCATAGACATGGGAACAAAAAAGTGAGCAAACTGGAAGGTTTCCTCTTGAAAAGACTTAAAAGGGCAGACCACAAAGATTTTGTCGGCACGTTTGCCATTAGTGCTGGTAACACTAAATTATGCACTGGCAATACTAAGCTTTGTTCGGCAATGCTAAATGTAGTACTGGCAATATTGGACAGAGCTAGGGAAGTCATGCGCATGCTGCACCCGTTTTTAGCACCACCCAAAAATCAATCGCAAGGCAAGTTTGCTGCCCGTCACTCCACCCTTTTAGAGCAAATATGGGGGGGTGTCCTTTCCTTCAGAGTCCTCATGGTGAGTTTCCTTGTGGTTTCCCTTTCAAAACCACCAAAAAACAGGTCCCCTCCCCAAAAAAAATGCCCCCCGCCCCCCCCCCCCCCCCCCCCCCCCCCCCCCGCCCCCCCCCCCAAAAAAAAAGAAGAAGAAGAAAGCGCTTCCCCCCCCCTCCCCAACCCCTCCCCCCCCAAAAAAAAGAAAGAAAAAAAAGGACACCGATATCAAGACATTACGCTCAAACCCCGGATGTCGCCATGCCCTCCCGCCTCTGACCGCGCCCACTTCAGCTGTCGGACTTGAGCCTTTCATTTGCGGCGGCTCCGGTCAATGGGCTGCCCACCGGAGCCGAAGTCCCATGGCCTCCATTCGCACCGTGTTTGATTTGTCCTGCTTTTTTGGTTGTTTTAAATATATATATATATATAAAAATAATAACAATATTACTATTATTGGTGTTTGGTTCCCTATAGGCCCCATAACTTTTGTGGTTTCCCGTAAGCCGTGCCCCCCGGACACAATGAGAAACATACTGCCCTCGGAGCCCGAAACCACACTAGTTGCGGCCTTTGGGGCTCAAAAGCCCTCTTGGGCTCCTAGGCACCACCTCAGAAACCCAACGGAATGAGAGGAGACCTCAACATAACCAACCAACAATGGTTTTAACCATGGTTTCCAAGTGGTGCAGGGTTTCGTCCATCCACAGTTTGTGAAGTAGTGACAAGTTCCCTTTGAAACCAACCTAGGGAAAATATTCTTAAGCGAATGGAATGCGGTTAGTAGGGTGTGCCGGCCCTGGTCAATGGAATCAAACCAACCTAAACCAGTGCCATCTATTTCTAGCCAAAATCACCTAAAAAAGACACCTATGCGTCTTGGTCTGTGGGCTGCTTTGGCTTTAACGCCCACGCGTTCGAGGAGAAAACAAAAGTTGGCCGCCATGGCTTCCAACATGCGGGCCCAACTAGAGCCAGTTTCCACACTGCCGAAACCAGTCGAGGCATGTTTGATGAAGCAGATTTAATGCTGAATGCACATGGTCTGCTGAGGCCTTTTTCGAATCTCGCTGAAGCCAGCGAATCGCGAACTAGCTATCTGGCACTAAACACCCTGGACTAAAGCTGTCAGCAGCCACGTACATCAGGACATCAAAAGATATCTGTTACAGTCACGAGCCCGGCATTGGTGATGATGATTGGGCGAGCCCCTCAGTGGGTTTGCTTCAAACTGAAGACCTGCAACAAAGTGTAACCTCCCCCCCGAATGGGTTTTACTACTGAAACGGTGCATGTAGGGTTTCTTTTGTTGAGTGCCGGAAGGGTCAGCTGCAACACAAAAGCGCCGCGCCCTTACTCCACTTGAACCATAACTCCTTGGCTAATCTTTGAGGGCGCCCTTATTGAGGCTGGTTTTCACGAAAAACCGGGAAAAAAAAAAAAAAAAAAAAAAACATCCCAGACACACACACACACACCAGATCATCCGAGGGAATGGAAGTTGCACTCCGCAGAGCCGTGTCCAGTCGGTGCATCTCAGACGACTTGGCTGTCTCTGCCCGTTCGGGGCTCGCGCTTGGGGCGGATTCGGAAAGCCCAGCTTCCCGCACATGGGCAGAACAAATGGGTTTCAAACGGGACATCCCTCTAAGCATGATCGCTTTGCGGGCTCATTTCTGCCTGGGGCACATAAAAACCCTGCTGAGATTTAGCCCACCCAAAAAAATGTAAAGTAGCTTTGGAGAAGACTGCGTGCTGATTTGGTCCTCCAGTAGAGAGGTTAGAATAGGTGTACCCTTTTTTCTGCAGTCTATTTTAGTAGGGGAACCTGGCTGATGGGGGGAACCATCTTCAAACCCGCAACCACCACTTCCGGGCGTGCACAACTCGATACCGTTCAGAACTCCTCGTCGCAGCACACGAAAAGGGGCACCTGGGCTTGCGGTGACGGCTCGTCGCCTCTCCGGGCCAGAAAAAATGGCCCAGGAGCCCGGAAGAGCCGAAATAGGGCACTTGACCCCCACAGGAATCCACTTTTTGACTACTTCAGGGTAGACTTAAACCCAGGGGTGGTTCATTTCCGCCAAAAGGAGAAATTGTGGGGGTTAAGTCTATCTTTGGGTAGTCAAAAAGTGGAAGCCTGCCCCCAAAGACCTCAAATAATGAGGTCTGGACCCCTAAGGGATGGGATTCCCTCAAGACTGCGCGAGGCTGGGATGAGACTCAGGTCAAATTTACATGGAGTGCGAACAAAAACAGGGCGAGCCATTTTAGGGTCCGAACCTGTTGGGGAACCCCAACAGAGTTGTTGCACAAACCTGCTTGAAGTGGTTGCTGGTTGGTAGGAATGCCAAAAAGTGATGGTTGATTAATGACCCATTGCAAGGCAAACAGCATTTTGCTTCGCAAGTCACGTCGCTCGAAAGGCCGAAGCCCAACAAGGACCTCTGCCCAGCAAATGACACGGGAAAAAACGGTTTCGCTTGACACTCCAACCTGGCTTCCCCTCTCATGGAACGGTCAAACGGCGAAATTTGCACTTGTGCATGTGGGCTTAACATGAAGTGTTCTACCAAGTCCATTCTTCGTGATCCCAGGACAACCGAAACCACCATCCGTCTGAGACCTCGCGTATAGGGTTCGAACAAGCCAAGTTGAACAAGCCAAGTTGGAGATGAACCCGGCCAACCAAAGGGTGGTCTCCTTCTGATTTCTCAAGACCACACCAAACGAGGAGACTTCCAGACAGATCTCCACACCAACTTCCACCCTGTGCTCCAGGCGGCCCTTCCTGGGGCTCCCTGCGCACAGCACGGTGCCCCATCCTGGACGGCCATCCAGGCAGTTGGGAACGCCTCTTTTGGCGGGTCCCGGGCCCACCCCTGAGTATCAACAAAACCAGCCCCAAACCTGCGGGCGTTGTGCTTTGTTTGAGGGTACCCTTTTCAGCCAAATTCAAGGCGAAGCCAAAAGCAAGACCGCTTTTTTTGTGTTGGCCCCCTTATTCTGACATCTGCGCAGCTCTAAAACGCGAAAACAAAGAAAAGCCCTGGGGGAACTGGCGAAGATTTCCTGCTGAGATTCATTGCCCCAAACACGCGCCCAAAAGGCGGCACCGCGGGTCTCAGCGGCTTACAGTTCCGGTCCCACAATTCCCCTCAAAACATGACCTACCGAAGGAAACCCAATGGCAACTCACCTGAAAAAAAGAGCAACTCGGATGTTTAAAACCAGAAGCTGGAAATATGGGTAGTTTGTTTAAAGCCCCCCAACCTCAAAAACGGTGGTCTTCCCTTTAGTTACGCTTTGAAGCCAACCCAAACAGGAAACCCTCACTAAGCTTACGACAATGGGCAGAGCAAGCAAGCTGGGCTCACCTCACTTGACTCTTGCATCTTGCCTCCTGCGTGCACTAAGATCGTTCAGGGCCCATTGGTACCTTTGGCGGGAAGCATACATCAAACGGGACAGAGAGGATGCACAACCGACTTCCAGTGAGGGGGGGGATTGTGGCACCCGAATTGAAGTCCCAGATCTCGACCCACTTGGACTGACGGCGCGGCCAGTAACGAGACAATCTAGTTGCCGATTCTTGGGAAGGGAACTGCATTGAGTGTTCATGCCGTTCCTGGAGCCGACTAACAAGAAGAACCCCCAAGCCAAAGGTCCCCCTTACATCAAAGGAAGCACCGAAAAAGGAGATCTCTATATTTCCCAAATTTGGGTAGGGGGGTGAAAAAGGTACACCCAGCTGTTATTCGGCCAAGCATCCAAGGATGGTTGGCACACCTGACATGAAGTAGACCGTGGCCGACTTCCTCAGCGCAGCGTAGGTTCTTTTCGGTCCCTACGCCCATGCTCAAAATCTGGGGGAATTCTCAGAATAGGGGACCCCTTTTCGGATGGGTTTTAAAGGGCGACCAAAAGACAAAAGTCAAGGGTGGCTTCGACAAAAAGATGCACCCATGTGATGCATATCGTAGGCCCTAGGCACTTACCGCACGGCGTTATGTTGCCCTCCAAATGTGGTTCCTGAACATGCCCCTCAAACGCACAACATGAACACAAGGCACTGAAAAGCTGAAAAAGGTTCTCGCTGCTGACAACCCAAAGCGAGAAGACAACCGGAAGTACAACGCTTTGATGCGCTGCCTCCGCAATGTTTCATCCATGGCAGCCCATAAATCCAATGCTTTGGGTAATCAACACCAAGAGGGAACAACTTGCATCCGTCAGGTAGCCGCTATAGTTTGTCCAGATTTATCTTTCAATCTTCCCGAAACAAGCACGATCCAACTGGCGAGAAAGAACTTGCATGGCTCCTAAATTTGTCCTCTTTGACCATCACCAACCAAACTGCAAATGTAGTTCCTTTTCGGGGGGACGCTCCCCACGAAAAATGTATATATATATATACATATGTATATATATATATATATATATATGTGATTTTCCTGTTGGTGTTAGACCACGAAAACAAATAACCTTTAAACAAAAGTAAATTCATTTTTCAATCACTTGTAGGCTTGAAAACAAGGCCCATAACCGTCCAACCTCGATGTCCAACCAAAGTGATGTCCAAAACGCCCTGGCGTTCTGCCGATACTAGCAACAACAAACCAAGAAAAACAGGACCTGACATTTGCGGAACCGAACAAGTTTCATTAAAAACAGCCAGCTCGCTTTGCTTGAATCCCCTGGCTTGCCATTTCAAAAAAAAAAAAAAAAAAAACGAAAAGGGCCTCCACTCTGAATCTTGCCGCGCGGCAAGTGCAGCAGGACGGCGGACAAGATGCACATGGCCGTGGAGAAGGGCAAGGTCTCGAGACGCAGCCCGGCGATTTTGCGTTCGCTAATCGAAACCCCTAACTAATGTTGCTGAATGTTGCTGAGTGTGGTTCACTTAATTATAAATACACATACATATATATATATATGTATATATAATATTATGGACATTTTTTTAGTGAAACATGTCAGGAGACATGCTAGGTATAACCACCTTCATGGGCAGTAACGAACCCACTCACCCTTTTCACGGAAATGAAGCTGAGTGGAATGCCAGGAGTCACCCCCTGCCTTGAGTGAACCCCAAGCTACGCGCAGCAGTTTGACCATATCCCTCGTAAGGCCCATAGGTTTGCAAGACTGGCAAGCGGCCCTGCCCAGTCTAAGAGCAGAACGCTCACAGACATCATGACAAAGCGGAAGAAGAACAGGACGCACTCGTCCTCGCTGTCATAGCCTGGCCGAGTCTGGCTCTGAACCCAGGAAGCAGCGGGCTCCTTTTCTGCGAGTCCATGTCAAGCAGC